CCCTCCCCTCCCCATACTCTGTTCTCCCGAGGCTCCACCCCCCAAAATCTCCAGGTATCTCCCACCTGGAGGCTAGCAACCCTGGCCATGACTGATCAGACCAGCACCCTGTTTCAGCCAGATGGTCCGAGAAAGCATCTAGAAGCAGGACATGGAAGAAGAAGAAGAAGAAGAAGAAGAAGAGGAGATTGGATTTATATCCTGCCCTTCACTACCCAAAGGAGTCTCAGAGCGGCTTACACTCTCCTTTCCCTTCCCCTCCCTGTAAGAGACTTCCTGGGAGGTAGGTGGGGCTGAGAGAGCTCTTCCGGGGACCACTCGCAAGAGAACAGCTCTGAGAGAACTTGTGACTGACCCAAGGTCACACCAGCAGCTGCATGTGGAGGAGTGGGGAATCAAACCTGGTTCTCCCAGATTAGAGTCTGTGCTCCTCACCAATACACCCAACTGGCTCTCAGACTGAAGTTGTTGTTGTTGTTCAGTCGCACAGTCGAGTTGGACTCTCCGCGACCCCATGGACCAGATCACGCCAGGCCTTCCGGTCTTCCGCCGTCCTCTGAAGTTTGCTCAACTTCATGTTCGTTGCATCTATGACACTGTCGAACCCTCTCATCCTTTGCTGTCCTCAATCTTTCCCAGCATCAGGGTCTTCTCCAGTGTCCCCTCATGGATCACTGCCTTGTTGTGGCGAGGGGGCTTGCGTGGTTCGATAAGGCTGTGGGCTATGCCGTGGAGGGCCACCCAAGACAGACAGGCCACAGCAGAGAACTCAGACCAAGCGTGATCCCCTGGAGAAGGAAATGGCAACCCACTCCAGTATTTTTGCCAAGAAAACGCCATGGACAGTATCAGACTGAAGAGTCCCCATGTTATTGCCCTGCAACACTACCATTCAAAGAACCGCTGCGTCTGAACACGGAGGATTCATTTAGTCATCAAAGTTAACAGGCATTGCTGGGCCTGTCATCCCTGGATCTCTCTCATTCTCTTTCAAAGCCAGCTCAACTAGCGGTCATCATTACATGCTGTGGCAGTGACTTCGGCAAGAATTATACCTTCGAGGGAAGAGGTACTTCCTTTTGGCTTGGCTGAATCTACCGCTCCTCTTCAGGCCTTACCACACAGGTCCCGCACACCTGCTCTGATCCTGCCTACTAGATGCAGTCTGGGAGTTTCAATTCAATTCAATTTATTATGGGTCTATATGACCGAAGTCTTGACCAACAGATAATGCAAAAGGGGTAAAATAGGTACATAAAATTGACATAAAATATGACAAGTACATAGTCACAATCAGTAAACATATAAAACCCAGGCATAGCCCAGAGAATTAAAAGAACCTAACTACACTTGGGGCGGAGCCAACTAACTAAAATCCTCCAAAGATTAAAATCGGTACAGGTGTTTGCAGAGATGATAAAGCTTTCAGTGGTCTGGGAGTTTCATGATTGGACTTTAAGTCTCAAGTGTGTTGGTGAGCTATATGTACGTTTCCCCCCAAGGGACACAGCAGTTCTCCGGGGCCATTTCAGGTCAAGAAAATGACATGTGTGAAGGAAGAAGCTTACACCTCCAACCCGAATTGGACTGCACCATGCCTGGGAATTAAGTTCTGAGCACAGAACCGGATCAGGTTCTAGGTCCTGGTACTAACCTTTAAGGCCTTAAATGGTCTGGGACCGACGTGTAATCAATAAGACGGATTGTAATCAATAAGAACCAAAAAGGCCCTGACCTGGTCAGTTCAAGCGGGCCCAGTCTTGTCCATCTTCAAAGCTAAGCAGGGTATTATTTGGGTGGGAGACCACCACGGAAGCCCGAGGATTGCTACACAGAGGCAGGCAATGGCAAACCACCTGTGTTCATCTCTTGGCTTGAAAACACAACATGGTCGCCTTCCGTCGGCTACGACTTGACGGCACTTCCGGCCAAAACCAAAAAGGAATCTTTTGCAACCTTGAACACATTTATCGTGGCATGTGTTTTTGTGGACCAGCGCCCGCTTCATCTGACGCGTGAAACCCATCTTGACAAGACATTTACATTACATACGCAAAAAGAGAGCGATGATATATAGACACGTGGATGTAGAAGGAATACAAATGTCAACCCTGTGGTTAAAGGACCACGAAATCCAAGAGCTACGGCCCGTGACGTTTCTTTGTGAAACTCAGAAGCCTGCAACATGAGCAAGGCAGCCATTCACTTGCTCTACCCTAAGTACACAGAAGCGCTGAACACCTGGGAGGGCTAAAAGGGATGTCGGCTCTAGATAAACCCAAAAAGGCCCACTAATGAGTTCCACCGCAGCTATTGCGAAGTCTCCCTTTGTTATGGCATTAACTGGGGCTTAAACACACTGGGGTGACTCCAACCGTTTCTGTGATGAGCGGTCGGGTTAGAACGGATAAAAGGAAGACCTTCTTCACCCAAAGAGTGATTCACACATGGAATTCACTGCCACAGGAAGTGGTGGCGGCTACAAGCATGGACGGCTTCCAGAGGGAATTAGATAAGCATATGGAGCAGAGATCCATCAGTGGCTATTAGCCACAAGGTATAGATAGGGGCTCTGGGGCAAGTGATGCTCTGTCTTCTTGGTGCTGGGGGGGGGGTCAACAGTGGGAGGGCTTCTAATGTCCTGGCCCCACTGGTGGACCTCCTGATGGCACTGGTATTTCTGGCCACTGTGTGACACAGAGTGTTGGACTGGATGGGCCTTTGGCCTGATCCAACATTGGCGTCTCTTATGTTCTTATTAAAGACTCCCATCCACAGAGGGCAACTTCAGTGGTTCTCCCGTCCTGCAACAATCCAAAATGCCCCCAAAATTCTACTCTGACAAGGGGGGGGGAGTGTCTCTTCAGCCCTAGGAGCAGAATTTCGGTAGCATTCTGGGCTGCCAGAAGTAGGGGAAGCCGCAAATGCCACGCTTCATGGGTGGCAGTCCCTGCACATCTTGGACGCTCACAGTTGGATCCAACTCGCTGATGCCTTGCTTAGCCAATACAGGTATTAAATGGCAGGACACACTACTTTTCCCAGAGAGTGAGTCAAATGGGGAATTCGCTGCCAGAGGATGAAGTGGTGGCCACAGGAATGAAAAGCTTTAAAAGGGGATTCGAGGCACATTCAGAGGCACTAAGCCTCGGGACCCCAGAGCCATGAGGCAACATCAGGGGAAGGCCTCGGCCTCTCTGCCCTGTCATTGGCCCTCCAGAGGAACTGGATGGCCACTGTGTGAGACAGGATGCTGGGCTAGGTGGACCAATGGCCTGCTCCAGCGAGGCTCTTCTTATGTTCTCAGGGCAAAAGTAGGGAGACTGTTGTCATCACTGGTTATAGGGGGATATGAATGGTTGTTGAAGAAGAGCAGGTTTTTATACCCCGCTTTTCCCTACCTTAAAGACTCTCAAAGTGGTTTGCAATCACCTTCCCTTTCTCTCCCTACAACAGGCACCTTGTGAGGTAGGTTAGGCTGACGGCGCTCTGAGAGAAGTGTGACTGGCCCAAGGGCACCCAGCAGGCGTCATGTGGAGGAGGAGTGGGGAATCTTACCCAGTTCTCCAGATTAGAGCCTGTTGCTGTTAACCATTACACCATGCTGTATGCGTTTATGTTTTCCACAGAGAGGTTAAAAGCGATGGCATGTATTTCATGGCCTTCTAACCCCACTGATGGTACCTGGTATTTTTGGCCACTGTGTGACAGAGTGTTGGAATGGATGGGCCGTTGGCCTGATCCAACACTGGCTTCTCTTATGTTCTTATGTTCAAATCCCACCTCTCTATCTGCCTGCAGAGGATACGCTTCTTATATATGAAGTAGGTTCCAGCCCAAGAAAACAGGTCAGAAGATATCCGTTAAGTCTTTTAAGACACCGCAAAACCTGCATCTTGGTTCTTTGGCAACAAATGCAGCACCTCTCTGGAATTTGCAATCAACAAGGAGGCTTTGCTGTTGATACAATGCCCTCTAGTGGCCACAAAGCAGGGCACCCAAGGAAGATTACACGTCTTTGTTTCCCTCTGAAGATAGTCCAGGATCTCAAAAGAAGAAGAGAAGAGGTTGGATTTATACCCCGCCCTTCACTACCCAAAAGTGTCTCAGAGCGGCTTACAAACTCCTTTCCCTTCCCCTCCCCACAACAGACACCCTGTGAAGTAGGTGGGGCTGAGAAAGCTCTGACAGAAACTGCTCTTTTTCAAGAACAGCTCTTGTCAGAACTATGGCTTGCCCAAGGTCATCCAGCAGCTGCAAGTAGAGGGGTGGGGAATCAAACCCGGTTCTCCCAGATTAGAGTCCGCGCACTTAACCACTACACCAAACTGGCTCACCAAGCTAAGCAAGATCAGCCCTGGTAACTATTTCGATGGGAGACAACCAAGGAAGTCCAGGGTTGCCACGCAGAGGGAGACAGGCAAACCAAGGTGGTTTCGAGGTCTTGCCTCAAAAACTCTATAGGGTCACCATAAGTTGATTGTGTCTTGAGGGCACTTTCCACCACAAGAGATAAGCACCAATTTTGCTACGAATAGGACACTAGATTCCTTTCAAGTCCTGCCCACGGTGATCTTTCTTGTGAAATACTGAAACTGGTGTAAATATATTTTTATTACTTATATTTCTACCTGCTACGTGGCACCATTAGGATGGAACACCCAGAAAAGCCTGTTTTAATTTGCAGATGTGGTTTATTACACCATGGCTGACTGAAGTCCAGATCCAGGGAAAACAGACGTAGTGGACTCCAAGTGTGGGCTGGTAGATAAAGTCAAGACATCGCTGTCACGTCCATTCAGCTTACATGACTTACTGGTGGGAGGCTAGACTTTGGTTAAAAAACACACAAACTAATGTCAAGCCGAGATGGCACGGATGGCCCCAGCTGGGCAAGCAGCACCCAGAGGGGTGTGGATTCCTGATCCTTGCAGGATTTTTAGGATT